TCTCCTCCCCACCACTGTCCTGGCCTTGCCTAAGTATGGAGATAAGGTCTCTTCATTCCTGGCATGTTATGAGGCCCTAGCATGTCGCTCCTCGCTTGATGTGTTACTGGCCCTCCCTGACATCAGGTGGCCCCTCAGGGTCTGGAGTCACCCCTGCAGGTGCTGTCTGAGGGGGTTCATGGAACATGACAGGCCCTGCTTTCTCCTCTTTCATTAGCCACCCTCTCACAAGAAAAACATTCTCCTGGCAAATGAAACCGGTCCAGCACTTGGCTTGTCTAGCCTAGTCTCCCTGGAATGGCTTTCTACGTTGCCATCATCCTCTTCTCCCTGCAGAGTGACCTGGAGGGCAGATTTTACTGAACCCATAGAGGTTCAGTTCATGGATGAAACTCTTCACGTTGTTTGTCTCGAAGATCCTGTCTGTGCCTCTGTGCTGGAGGACCTCCATCTAGAAGAGATCTGCCCTGAAGACCACCGTGTATCCCTCATTGTTCCAGTGCACAGAGGTAAATGCTGCATCCTCCACAATCCTCCAGAGCTTCCTGGGGAAGGACAGCCCGAGGACGGCATCATTTTCTTCCTCATTGGTCATTTCTGGGTTTGGGCCCTGTGAGGGCAAATTGTCATGGAGGTCTGGATAGGGGCTCTCGGGTTGGTCACCCTAATTCTCCAGAGCCTCCCTTGACTCTACGTTTGAATCTAGGGAAGAATCACAGGGATCCCCTGCCATGGGATCCCCATCAGTTGATGCGGTCAGCAGGGCTGCATGTGCCTCATGGGAAATCTGACTAGCCATGGAGCCAGTCTAACTCAGGAGCATTCTCTACCCAAGCAGTGAATGCTCAGGGCAGAAGGGTCTCCGACCACTGTTGGGGTGCCCCGTAAATAATCTCTGGAGATTCTAGAATCTGTGTTGCAGGCCAGGCAGCCCATTAAGTGGTCAGCCCCCTTAACTGTTTCATACTGTCCTAGAGGTGATGTGGAGAGGCAGCCCTGGCCAGTGTGGGGGAGGGGGGATGGAGACAGAGATGGGGTCCCCAGCTTGTCTCTTGTCTGAAAATACAGAAAAGTATCTTTCAGGTTTCCTGCAAAGGCTCCCATCTGTGGCCAGGCCCCTTGTTTCAGGGAGCCAGGCCCTGGATGGGTTGACAAACGTGCCCCTGGCTCCACTCCCTCTATACTAATGGGCAGACCTGTGGCTGGCTTCTGCTGAAGGGCCAGGTCCTGGCGAGTCCTGGCTCGGCTACCAACAAGAGAGACCCCAGGAGTCAGATGGGCCCCTGGCAAGTGTCCCTCCCAGAAGATGGGGTCCATAATGGGCAGTTTTAGCCTAGCCTGAGTTGGTGGTCCCACCCCCCAATCCCAAGCCTTGCCCCTCTTCTGGCTTTGGTCTACTCTGGCTGGTTCTGCTGGTTGCTAGGTCCCACTCGGATGGCCCCAAAGTCAGAGTCCTGTTGTCCTGCCACCACTGCCACCCAGATCGAGCTCTCCCCAGAGTAGGGCTGCACTCGAGCACAGTGGAGTGACCTCACGTTCCACTTGACTGTTCCCCAAGCACCTGAGACACAGACTCTCCAGGATGCCCTGAAGGAGGGCCCAGCCAGGTGCTCTGCTGAGCTTGCAGCCTCCCGAGCTCTGCCCACCCCCAGATGCCATCCCACTGCAGATCGCAGGGTGCTGTCTTCAGTTTCCATTTCTTTCCATAAAGACTGCTCTCGTGACCCTACAGTCCTCACTTTGGAAACATCTGTGTGTGTGCTTTTCTTATCCTCTGCCCAGAGCCTCAAATTCAGGCTCCCTGGAGGCTGCCTCAAAATTACTGTTTCCTTTTGTCAATGGGTTGGTTGGGCTTCTGCTACCCCTGATCCTGGCCTCCCGTGTCCAACTTGGGTGTCCGTGGATACCTGCCCTTTGAAGGACTTGAGCAGGGGCTCAAGGTACAACCTGTCCTGTTAAAAGCAAGCATTTCACTGGTCCTCTCCAAGGCCAGCTCTGATCTTCTCCGCCCCTGCCCCTGTCTCCACCACCACTGGGAATCTGTTCTCCCTTACCCAGATGGCAGGTACATCGAATGATTTTGTTGGCACTGGTTACGTGCATTTTTAGAGGCGTCCTTTGTAGACACTCACTCCCAGAGACATGTCTGACTTGTTGAGCTAGATGTGACCAGAGGAAGCCCCCATCTACCTGTATTTGAAAATGGATGAGAGCCCGGGTGTAGGAATGGACAAAACTCCAGTGAGAGACACCTGTTTTCACGGCACATGGGCGATAGGGCAGTGGGTTTGGAGATGTGTGTTCTCTGACCTTGGTGGGCCACTGGTCTTCAAAATCACGGTGTAGGGAACAGACCGGCACCTTGGAGAGGCCCGTGTGTGAGGACCCTATGGTACTGTCCCCCTAGAGACAGTGTTCTCCCAGTTCTGCCACTCAGCAGGGTCATTTGCCCAGTGTGAGGGCCACGGCCTGGTGTCTGAAAGGGGAGAGCTAAGAAGGTATGTAAGAGGCTCGCCCAGGGGCCTTTCAGCCTGAGGACTGGAGACCAGAATGGAGTTCGCAGGCCTTGACCTGTGCTTGCTCCCTTGCCTTTGCGCTGCTAAACAGGTTGACAGAGCATTCCTTCAGGTCAGTTCATCTGACTGGGACATGACCCTAGATCATCAGTGATCATCAGTGGGGGACCCTGGTGGCTCCTCTGAAGGGGACCAAAGACCGTGGTATCTGTTGCAGCCTGGCTACATGGCCTTTCTTGCCCCCGCTCCCCCCAACTTGGGGCTGCTCCTCACCCCCTGGGTCCAGAGGAAGCTGCCTTTTCTGGTCCCCCTCCTCCAGGCACCATTTGCGCCCTGGCAGTGGGTTTGTGTGGCACCAAGTAGTTTTGTCAGCTGTGGCTCAGGACACATGCATTGTGCACACACAAGCCCTCATGACGTCAAAGGCCTGCCTTTCTCAGCCTCACTCTACTGCCCCTGCCCTTGGCGTCCCCGCTCTGATGTCCCCAACCCAGAGGCCCTCCAGCGGCTCCCCACCTTCACCGCAGCTGGTGTGAGGAGCCCCATGTGTTGGGCTGCAGGGCACGCCTGAGGGACGCAGTGCAGCTGGCAGGGCCTGGCCTTTGTTGGCACTGTGATGGTGGGGCATGAATCTCTCACACTGTTGCCTGCAGACACTCCTCCACTCTCCACTGTGGGAAGTGGTCGATTGCTTTGTGGTCCAGGCCATGTCAGAGAATATGCACTTCAATAGGATGTGGAATAGCTAATCAGCCAAACATCATGATTCATAAATAAAACTAGTTAACTTTTCCAGTTAGACCATAGTGGACCATAGTGTTATTAGCTCAGTTGTGTTCAATTCTTTGAGACTCCATGGACTGTGTAGACCACCAGTGTCCTCTGTCCTTGCAATTCTCCAGGCAAGAATACTGGAGTGGGTTGCCATGCCCTTCTTCAGGCGATCTTCCTGACGCAGGGCTCGAACCCAGGTCTCCCACAATGCAAGCAGGTTTTTATCCTTTTAGCTACCCCAGCAGCCCCTTTTCCAGTTAGAGGGCCTGTTACATTTGGTTGTTGAGGAGTGTTCCAACAGGAAAAAGGTGCTCCAGGAAAAGCAAGAACCACTCTTTGCCTCTGTCCCAGGCTGTCTTCCATCCAAACCATTAAATTCCTTCATTGCAGCCCCAACAAAGATCAAGTTGTTGATTAATGGCCAATTACAAAAAGAGATCATTTAAAGCTCAATTACACCTTAGGTTCTGGATCCTCGATACCACGAAAGAGAGGGCAGTTCCATGGATTTTTGGGGGGTATCCCTTCAAGAGAGTGTGACCAAAGTTCTGCAGGATTCCTAGCAGATATGGGGTGGAAAACACATCCTTTGCCCCTGTGGTCAACAGCAATGTGACAAGAGCCAGGGCCCCTTCCTTCCTGCCCCAGAAAGAGATCTCTCTGGGCTTTATCCAAGATGCAAAAGGACACCTCACAGCAATGATCCATTTCAGACGTTCCCATCACCCCCAAGACACAATGCAGTACTGAGGGGTGCCACCATCCAACCTCATCACAATCACATCCCACAGAAGGAACCCAGCATCCCAAAGCCCCAGACCACCCTGGCTCAAGCACAAACCCCAAGGCGTTCCTCCTGTTAGCCCCACAGCCCTGCTCTGTGTTGCCTTGCTCTGTGGGTCTAGGGGATGTCTCTCCAACTTCCCCGTGTGACTCTGGCTCCTAGACCATCGCCGTAAGAGTGGGGGATGTCCTGCTTCTCCTAGTATCCACACTGCTAACATAGCCTTTCAGGGAGCAGAGGCTCAGTAAAAGTTTTCGGAATAAATGAGCCAGTGGGCACGGGGCTCAGATTAATTGTCTGCTACGCCCTTAAATAACCCAGACAAATCCAAAGAAACAGAGATAACTTAGTTTTTGAGACTGATACCCAAAAAGGACAGTAACATGAATTCACTACAATCACCTTTATTATTATCTAAATCTCTCCCCATCAATATTGCTGCTAAGTAAGCTGACGTTTCCAAAACAGTTCTAATTCCAATTCCAATGTATCCCTTTCAGGGTCACAAATCAAAATGGAAGAGTGCCCAATCTCTTTTACAAAAGAGCAAAACTCTTGTACTTGAACTGGGTAACCACAAACACATTTTGATCCTCATCATTCACAAACTAGGACTTTAAAGGTTATTTAGCCTTCTGTTAAACTATCAAAGTTTGGAAATTTTCTAAAGAAAACAGAGATGAATCTCCATGTCATCATAGAGAACAGGAACCCAAAGATGCTACACAGCGGTTCTGCCAACTGGCCCAGGCCCTCACTTCTGAGGAGGCTATCCAGTCTTCAATCACAGAGGGAAGGATCGGCTGGCTGCTGCTCTGACCTTCCTCCTCCCTTGCCACCACTGCAGACAGGGGTGGGAAGGCCCCCAAAGCACTTTGGTTGACTCTGAGCAGAAACACTATGACTTGCCACTTGCTGGTCTCTGCCTAGGCTTGCGGACCCCACAGGAGCTCACAGCAGGCAGAGCGGCTGCCCTCCCCAGGGCCCTGGGCCTCGCCTGGGTCCTGAAGGTCTTCCTTGGCCTTGCTTGGTTTACTCGGGTCACTCATCTCGACCACAAGCATGATGGCTGGGATCAAACCACAGACAGGAGTGACACAGGGGAACAGATCGGGACCATGGGCCTTGGCCAAGAAAGGTCAGACCCAGGATGGTCTGACACAGGCAACCTAAAAGTCTCCTATTGAGGGGTCCCCTAAGCTCTCCCTCCGGGTCCTCACCTAAACTGCTTCAGAACCTAAGAATCTCCTCTCCAGTCTCTGAGGCCCCGCCCCTTACATCAAGTCTCCAGCGTCCCTGAGAAGTTGTGCTCATGCAGCCACCAGAGTTGCCCTGGGATGACAGCAGGTTCTGGGACCCTGGGATGCCCTGTGTCCTCCCTCAAGGTCCTCATCTTGAGCCCTGGTACTTCCAGGGATGCCCGGAATGGCAGGGATGGGCACAGGAGCTGAGGGGTGGGGTGGGGGCTGGGGGTGGGGGATGCCAAGCCTGGTACAATGCCCATCTCTACTGGGAGAGAACCAGAGCCTGGTCACTGCACTGTGAAGCAAGGGAACCCACCCTCCCTCCTCAGTGCTTCCAGGTTTTTGGTGCCCTCTGACTTGGAACTCACCATGTGCCTCTCTCCCGCTGTCCTGCCCTCTTCCTTGCTGACCTCCCCACAGACTGCATGTGATGGTCCTCTGGGTCGCCACTCCCCTATCAGTGGACTGCTTGGAGACAGATGGGAAGAGCCAGACCTCTCTTACCCCGCCTCCACATTTCTGTGTCAGCGGGCTTGGAGGATGCTCGGCCATGTGGGGCTGAGGTCCGGCACAGGCTGTGAGCTTGGAGGCTGCTGTGTCAGGCTCCTGACCTTTGTGGTTCTGTGTATCCGCAGCCACATGAGGCCCTGGGAGCTCCGGGAGGTGAAGTTCAGCTGTCTGTCCTTCTGACAACCTTCTGCCGGTTTCATCTTAAATGGTGGCAAGCCCCTGGAGAGGCAGTGACGGTCTGTGCTATGTGACCACTGGCACTGTACCCTGGCCGTCCACATGCACACTGGAACTGGGTGGATGTGGCCTAGAAGGAGCTGCTGGAGCAGAGGCTGGGGATTAGCCCCGCCCAGATCCAGGCCTTGCTGCAGGATGGGGACAAGTTCGGGCCTTAGAGTGATTGCAGGCAAGTGAGGCCCTGCCCCACGCTGCCTGCATGCCCCACGGTGCTGCCCTGGATCTCAGCTTGCTTTCCCAAACGATCGTTTGTTTGTGTTCGTTTGTTTTCTGTTGAACCAGTTGGTGGGGGAGGGGCTGAGACTTTTTCAGAGGGACAGTGCAGGTCCCTTGGCTGGGAGACAATGGCATGAGGTGCCTGACCAGCTCCCTGACCTCAGTCCCCGTTTGTGCTCTGAGCAGAGGCGGATCCAGGTTTGCACATGGCACTTTGTGTGTGTAGGTGTGTGTGTCCCCACGTGTGTCTGTGTGCCTGGCAACGACCATGAGAGTCAGTAAAGCACCCGGTATGGGTTTAATACCCACACGGCCTGCAGTCAGGCCTGAACAAGCCCCCTGACTCCCCAGGGGTAAGGCCCCAAAGCAACACTTCTCTGCTGGTAAATCCCTTGGGGTCCTGATGTCTGCTGGACCCTGCCAGAGCCCTCCTGCTCTGTCCCTGTGGCCTGTAGTGGTCAGACTGAGAGCTGCCCGTGACCTGGTGGGTTTGTGGAGCACCAGGCCTCTCCCTTTCATTTTGCTCCCTCATGGCTTGGCTTCACACCGTATTCCCTTCACCAAGGTGAGCCCATCTGAAAATGCTCATCCAGAAGACCCAGTTCACCTCAGGCTTCCTCCGTGATATGGTCTTAGTCTCCAGCAGGCATGACTTTGAATCGCCTTGTTCCCCTTCTGTGTCCTGTCTTTGCACATAGGTCAAAATTGGAAATTGGGGGCACTTTGCTATGCCCAGAAAACCTAGATCCCGATGCGGTAGAGGAGCTGGAGGATTAAGCCCTGCTACCCGACCTTCTCCAGAAGTACCTGACTGTGCTTGCCAAGCCCCACCCGCTGCTGCAGCCCGTCCCTGGGAGGGGCGGGAAGGACATCTTCCAGGTGGACATTGCCGAGCACTTGATCCCCTTTGGACAGGAGACCTGTCCAGGCTGGGCTCTTGAGAGGAAGGTGACCAAGAGACCTGCCCATGGTGACACTGTCCAGTCACCGCTGCACCCTGGATGTGCCCGTCTAGTTCCGTCTGAATTGGCCCCACTCTTGGGTGTGTTGCCAGCTTGGTGCAGGTTGGGGGTCTGGGATACTCCTCGTGTGGTGCTGCTCGGAACTCAGTGTGAGTCTCCAGGACTTCGACCTTCACGATAAGAGGGCATCGCCACTCGTTTTGGCCCTGCTGTGTCTGGGTGGTTGAGAGAAATGTGTTGTTAGGAATCTGCTTAATGTTTTTCCCTCTCTGTTCTGGTCCAAACTCCCCGATGTTGGAACAGTGACCAGAGGGTGATGGGGAAGGCTGGGGGCTTGGCTGAGTGTTGGCAGGCAGAGATGTCCACAGGCCCAGAAACAGGTTACGGTTTGTCCTTGTCCTTTTCTAATGTGTCCCTTGGCTCACAAAGCATGTGTGTTGGATGTGGTGCCTGGCTGCCTCACGTCCAAAGACAGGCTCCTAAATATACCTGTGAGGGCAGAGCAACAAGGGCCGGTGTTCACCTTGTGGAAAGCTTGTACTTGTCTTTGGGTTTGGAGTCATGTGTTTGTAAGGCCCTTGGCAGGTGGGGTGACCCTGCTTTCTGGTCAGCCTCTTGGGGAGAGGCCCCTGGATCAACAGCTGGATATGCTCAGCTGCTGAGCAGAAACTTGTGGCATCTTTGTGGACCCAGGAAGAGTCCCTTCTGCTTCAGGGTGCATGATTTTGGAAGGTGACTCCCCCCAAGGTCAGGAGCCCAGCTGGGCCATCTGCTGAGCAGCAGGCAAGGCCCAGTGACCAGCCCATCCTGGACTGGCCTCAGCACTCGGCTAGTGAGCCAAACCCTTGGCCGAGCATGTGAAATGCTGCTGCTTCTGTTGAAAAGGGACCACATGGACCAGACTGAAGCCTGCATGGAGTGTGGGCTTCCAGCCTCATCTGGCTCACCCTGTGACATTTGAATAGTGTGAACAGACAGAAAGAACACAGGCTGGTCATTCTCATTTGATTCTTTATTTACTCGTGTGTAGTTTTGCACCTCTTTATTAGAGCCAAAAATCGATTTTTGATTACAGGAGAGTACTTTGCAGTGTCCCCAGGAACCTGAGAGGTCAGAGATGGGGCTTGTCCTTGACCTGCTCATAGAGGACAAGTCCTCTGAGAGCTCTCTCTGCTCCTATTCTGCCTCAGGGGCCTCGTTTGGGGCTCTGCCGGAAAGGGCTGCCATCAGCATGGAGTAACAGGTGTTGTACAGAGCCATCACTGAATCATAATCTGGGTACCCTGGGGGGCTCTCGGGCATTTGCCCAGTACTCTTCCTCCCAGAAGTAGCTCGGGGTACAGACATGGCACTGTTGGACGTGACCTTTCCACTGGGGCCACCCTGCTCACTGGGGAGATGCTTTACCCCAGCCTGCCCGGCTCACAGCACATATAGCAAATGCGAGAGAGCCCAGATGATCGTCGCCTGGGGTTTCTGCGAGCAGGTGGGGTTCCCTTCTGGACTTTCTTGCCCATCTCTTGGGTGCACTGGTTGTGATGGAGTTGAGGAGAGTGTCTGGTCGCCATCACTCGCTCCTTTCTCTTTGGGATGTTCTGCAGGAGGAGAAGTTTGTCCCTCTGAAAATTGGAGTTGCGATAGATGTGAAAGAAAATGAATCACTTTAGACAGCGAGGGGAAGAAGAGGCCTTCCTCGCCACCCTCTTCCCCATGACTATCCTGGCCATGCCTATGTATAGAGACAAAGTCTCTTCATTCTGGCAGGTTATGAGGCCTTAGCATGTTGCTCCCTAGAGCTGCCCCGGGGCCATCCTCACTTGAGGTGTTCCTGGCGGTCCCTGACATTCAGTGGCCCCTCAGGGTCTGGAGTCACCCCTGTGGCTCCTGTCTAAGGGGGGTGGTGGAACAAGACAGACCTTGTGTTCTCTTTCCTTAACCACCCTCTCATGAGAACAACGCCCCCCTGGGAAATGAAACCCATCCAGCACTCAGCTTATCTAGTCTAGCCTCCCCAGAAGGACTCTCTACATTACCATTGTCTTCTTCCCTGCAGAGTGACATGAAGGGCGGATTTTACTGAAACCGTACAGGTTCAGTTCATGGATGAAGCTCTTGATGCTTGCTGTCTCAAAGATCTGGTCCGCACCTCTGCGCTGGAGGACCTCTGTCTGGAAGAGATCTGCCTCAATGACCACCATGTCTCCCTCATCATTCCAGCGCACAGAGGTGAAGGCTGCATCGTCCACGATCCTCCAGAGCTTCCTGGGGAAGGACAGCACGAGGACGGCGTTGTTCTCTTTCTTGTTGACCATTTCTGGCTTTGGGCCCTGTGGGGGCAGATTGTCATGGAGGCCTGGATCGGGGCTCTTGGGTTGGTCACCCTGTTTCTCCAAAGCCTCCCCTGAATCAACATTTGGATCTGAGGAGGAATCACAGGGGTCCCCTGTTGTGGGCTCCCCATAAGTTAATGGGGCCAGCAGGGCTGTGTGTGACTCGTGGGAACTCTGACTATCCATGGAGCCAGTCTAGCTCAGGAGCATTCTCTACCCCAGCAGTGAATGCACAGGGCAGAAGGGGCTCAGGCCAGGGTTCGGGTGCCCCATAAATACTCTCTGGACATTCTAGAATCTGGGTCGTGGGCCAGGCAGCCAATTAAGTGGCCAGCTTCCTTAACTGTTTCATGATGTCACAGAGGTGATGTGGAGAGGCAGCCCTGGCCCCGTGTAGGGGAAGGGGGTCTGGGGACAGAGATGGGATCCCCAGCTGGTCTCTTGTCTGAAAGTATAGTAAAGTTTGTTTCAGGGTGCTTGCAAAGGTTCCCATCTACTGCCAGGCACTTTGTTTCAGGGGGCGGCCGGACCCTGGATGGGTTGACAAATGTGCCCCTGGCCCCACCCCCCTCCCTGCCAGTGGGCAGGCCTGTGGCTGGCTTTTGCTTAAGGGCCAGACTTGGCGAGTCCTGGCTTGGCCACCACCGAGAGAGATCCCAGGGGTCAGATGGGCCCCTGGCAGCTGTCCCTCCCAGAACAGGATCCATAGCAGGCTGGTTAGCCTAGCCTGTGTTGGTGGTCCCACTTCCCCACCCCACCAGCCGTGGCCTTGCCCCTCTTCTGGCTTTGTTGTCTTCTGGCTGGTGCTGCTGGTTGGTCTGTCCCACTCAGATGGTCCCAAAGTCAGAGTCCTGTTGTCCTGCCATCACTGCCACCCAGATCGAGCTCTCCCCAGAGTAGGGCTGCACTCAAGCACAGTGGAGTGACCTCACGTTCCACTTGACTGTTCCCCAAGCACCTGAGACACAGACTCTCCAGGATGCCCTGAAGGAGGGCCCAGCCAGGTGCTCTGCTGAGCTTGCAGCCTCCCGAGCTCTGCCCACCCCCAGATGCCATCCCACTGCAGATCACAGGCTGCTGTCTTCAGTTTCCATTTCTTTCCATAAAGACTGCTCTCGTGACCCTAGAGTCCTCACTTTGGGAACACCTGTGTGTGTGCTTTTCTTATCCCCTGCCCAGAGCCTCAAATTCAGGCTCCCTGGAGGCTGCCTCAAAATTACTGTTTCCTTTTGTCAATGGGTTGGTTGGGCTTCTGCTACCCCTGTTCCTGGCCTGCCACATCCAACTTGGGTCTCTGTGGGCACCTGCCCTTTTAAGTACTTGATTGGGGGCTCAAGGTACAGCCTGTTCTGTTGAAAATAAGCACTTCATTGGTCTTCTGTGAGGCCAGCTCTGATCTTCTTTGCCCCTGCCCCTGTCCCCACCACCACTGTGGACCTGATCTCCCTTACCCAGATGGCAGGTACATAGAACGATTTTGTCTGCTCACAGGTTAGGCACTTTTCAAGGGGCCTCCTTTACACACACTGCCAGGGACATGTCTAAATTGTTGAGCTAGATGTAACCAAAGGAAGTCCCTGTCTGCCTGTATTTGCAAATGGATGAGAGTCTGGGTGTGGGACTGGACGAAACCCCAGTGAAAGTCACCTGTCTTCACCACACATGGGTAATAGGGCAGTGAGTTTGGAGACGCATGTTCTCTGACCTTTGTGGGCCACTGTTCTTCAAAATCACCATGTAGGGGACAGACCAGCACAATGGAAGGGCCCGTGTGTGAGGACCCTAGAGCAGTGTACCTAGGGACAGTGCCCCCCTAATTCTGCCACTCAGCAGGGTCTTTGCCCTGTGTGAGGGCCACAGTCTAGTGTCTGAAAGGGGAGAGCTAAGAGGGTGTGGAAGAAGCTCGTCCAGGGGCCTTTCAGTCTGAGGTCTGGCAGCTAGAATGTAGCTCACGGGCCTTGACCTCTGCTTGCTCCCTTGCCTTTGTGCTCCTATACAGGTTGACAAAGCATTCCTTCAGGTCAGTTAATCTGACTGGGACATGAACCTGGAGGCTATGATTGTTGGTGGGGGCCCCTGGTGGCTCCTCTGAAGGGGACCAAAGACTGTGATGCCTGTGGCAGCCTGACTAGGTGGCCTTTCCTGCCCCCACCCCCACCCTACTCGGGGCCCCTCCTCATCCCTGGGTCCTTATTGAGCTTCCTTTTCTGTTCCACCTTCTCCAGGCACCACATGGGCCCAGGCAGTGGGTTTGCATGGCACTGAGGAGTTTTTTCAGCTCTGGCTCAGGACACCTGTGTTGTGCACACACAAGCCCTCATGACTTCCAAGGCCCGCCTTTCTCAGCCACACTCTCCTGCCCCTGTGCTTGGTGTCCCTGCCCCGGTGTCCCCAGCACAGAGGCCCTCCAGCTGCTCCCCTCCCTCGCTGGTGCTGGGGAGACCTGGAGCTTCAGGTGTCATGTTACCTTCCCTCCCATATCAGAGGACGCTCCTGTAGGGGCCTTATCCCAGTGGGCATCGTGGCCATAAGGTCAGACCCTCCCTCCCTCCTGCTCGGTGAGGAGCTGGTCAGCCTGGCAGGTGCAGTTGGGCAGGACGCCCCATGGCAGCAGCAGGGACAGGGCTCCGCCCTCATGCGGGAGGCGCTGGGATGGACAGAGATGCCGGCCCCCGGCAGAGTCAGTTCTCAGCAAACACCAGAGCAGCCCCACAGTGCTTCTGATCCTCCTCATCCGCTTCCTTCCGCGGGCCTGCTTTTTGTCACCTCAGAGGCATTGTGTAGCACTGAGAAGAGGAAGGTGTGAGAAGTCGGAAGGTCAGCCTGTGGCCTAGGGTGGGCGGGAAGGGTGGGGGCTCCAGAGGAATTGAAACCAGGGCTCTGAGCCCACCTCATCCCTCACTAGCACGTGGGCCTGGGAAGATCACAAACCCCGTGGCCTCAGTTCTCCTGTGAAGCCAGTCAGTTTGAGAAGCCCACGTGTTGGGCTGCAGGATGCCCCTGAGGGACGGGATGAGGCTGCCAGGGCCTGGCAGCTGTTTGCACTGTGATGACAGGGCAGGAATCTGTCACATTGTTGCCCCCAGACACTCTTCCACTCTCCACTGTGGGATGGGTGCTTTGTGGTCCAGGCAGGTCAGAGAATATGACCCTCAATAGGATGTGGAATAGCTAATCAGCCAAACAGGATGTTTCAAAAATAAAACTAAGAAACTTTTCTACTTAGACCATAATGTTTGTTACTCAGTGGTGTCCGACTCTTTGAAACTCCATGGACTGTAGCCTGCCAATCTCCTCTGTCCATGGAATTCTCCAGGCAAGAATACTGGAGTGGGTTGTCATGCCCTTCTCCAGGCGATCTTCCTGACCCAGGAATCGAACCCAGTTCCTGATCCAGGAATCGAACCCAGGTCTCCCACAATGTAAGCAGATTCTTCATCATTTGAGCTACCCGGTAAGCCCCATTTCCAGTAAGAGAACCTGCTAAATTTGGGTGTGGAGGACTGTTCCAGCAGGATCCAAACTGCTCTAGGAAATAGAAGCAAGAACCACTCTTTGCCTCTGCCTCAGCTAGTCTTCCATCCAAACCATTATTTTCCTTCATTGCAACCCCAAAGAAGGTTGAGTCCTTGATTATGATGGCCAGTTACAATCAAGATAATTTAAAGCTAATTAACACCTTGGGTTCCACATCCCATGGACCAGGAAAAAGAGGGTACTTTCGTGTATTTCTTGGGCACCACTTCAAGGGAGTGTGAAGGAGTTCTGCAGGATTTCTAGCAGATATGGGGTTTGAAAACACCTCCTTCTCCCCTGTGATCAACAGCAATGTGACAAAAGCCAGGACCCCTTCCTTCCTGCCCAGAAGGAGATCTCTCTGGGCTTTATCCAAAATGCAAAAGGCTACCTCACAGCAGTGATCCATTTCAGAATTTCCCATCACCCCAAAGACACACTGTCTGCAAGTCTGAGGGCTGCCACCACCCAGCCTCATCACAATCACGTCCCAGAGAAGGAATCCAGCTTCTCAAAGCCCCAAACTGCCCTGGCTCAGCCACTGACACTCCAGTGCTCCTCCTGAAGCCCCATCGCCCTGCCCTTTGTTGCCTTGTTCAGTGCGACTAGGGGACGTCTTTCCACCTTCCTCATGTGACTGTGGCTCCTAGACCATCGCTCTAGGTATGGGGGTGTCCTGCTTCTCTAGTGTCCCCACTGCAAACATGGCCTTTCACAAAGCAGAGGCTCTGTAAAGGTCTTCGGAATACATGAGCCAGTGAGCAGGGGGCTCAATTAATTATCTGCTACTTCCTTAAAAAAACCCAAGCCAACCCAAATAAACAGACAATTTAGTTTTTGAAAATGACACACAAGAAGGACAGAAGCATGAATTCACTACGATCACTTTTATCATCTAATTCTTCCCCATCAGTATTACTGCTAAGTAAGCTCACGTTTCCAAAACAGTTCTAATTCCAATTCTATTGCATCCTGTTCAGGACCACAAAACACAATGGAAGAGTTTCCAATCTCTTTTACAAAACAACAAAACTCTTGTTCTTAACTGGGTAAGTACAAACACACTGCGATCAACATCATTCACAAAGCTAAGACACTGAAGTTTATTTAGCCTTCTGTGAGAACAATGAAAGCTTTAAAATGTTCTAAAGAAAACAGATGAATCTCCATGTCATCATAGAGAACAGGAGCCCAAAGATGCTACACATCAGTTTCCCCAACTGGCCCGGGCTCTCATTTCTGAGAAGGCTGACCACTCCCTCTTTAATGACAGAGGGAAGGATTAGACTGGCTGCTGCTCTGACTCAGGCTGCCGAGTCCTCCTCCCTCGCAGCCTCTGCAGACAACTATGGGAAGGCCCTCAAAACCCTTTGTCTGACCCTGAGCAGAAACACCATGACTTGCCACTTGCTGGTCTCCACATAAGCCCAGGGACCCACAGCAACTCATAGTGGGCAGGGTGGCTGTCAGGCACCTGCTGGTACTCCAGGTATCCCTCCTGCACCCACACATGGGTCAGCAGCTCCCTGGGCTCCCCAAAGACACAGTGCTCACTCCCAAAACACAGCCCTATCCTGCTGAGTGCTCCCCAGACTGCCTCCTCAGGGGCCCGGTCTCCATTCCTCATGATCAAGATGAGGAAGCCAGCCTTGGGCAGGCCCTGCCCACCTCTCTACATTGCATTGCAGGTGAGGCCCAGGGTGGGGACCATGATGTAGATGTGCTCCATGGGGTCTACCTCCTTCACCTCCATGCCAAAGACCAGCTGCAGGCACTCTGAGGCTTGGCTGAAAACCACCGGGAAGTGCTCCTGGTTATCCCTGATGACCTTCTTCAGCATTTCTGCCTGGGAGGTCAGCTTCTTGGCTCGATACTTGAGGAGCAGGAACTTCATCACCTTCCTGCCACCATCGCATTAAGAGCTTCCTGGGGCAAGGCCTCCACAAGGGTGGAGCAGGAGACTGTGGGGACAAGGCTGAGGGGATAAAGCCTCTCCTGCCTCAGCCCCCAAGAGCTGTGCCTCTACCGGGCCCTGGGCCTCACCTGGGTCCTGAAGGTCTCCCTCGGGATTGCTCAGCTCACTCATCTCGACCAGGAGTGCAATGCCTTGGATGAAACCACAGACAGAAGTAAGGCAGGGGAACAGATGGGGACCACAGGCCTGGCTGAGGGAGAGAGGGGCTGTGAACGGCCTTGAGAACTGCACCCTGGGTGGTCTGACACAGGCCACTTACAGGTCTCCTTTTAAGGAGTACTCTCAGACCTCACAGGGGTGTGCCTCCAGGGCAGTCAGTACCCCTGGCTACCTGAAGGAAGAAGTGAGGTGGCTCCCCAGGGTGCAGTAAGCACAGCCTGAGATTTCCGGGGCTGACTAGGTGGGGGTATTAGGCCCTCGTGGGGTCCCCTCTGTTCTGGGATGGGGAGACCCTGGTGCACACTTAGGGCACACTCCTCACCTTGACTCCTGGTACTGCCTGGACCTCCTCTGCTCTCTGACCTTAGGATGTGGGCCTCAGGCCTCTGCCTTCTCCTCCTGGTTCCTGGAGCTCCTGTGAGAGAAATGGAGGGGACACCTTGAGGGTATCTCATGAATTTCTCAGCCAAGGCCGCTCACAGCCCCTCTCACCCTGAGACCGGTGGTCCCCATCTGTATCCCTGCCTCACTTCCGTGTCTTGTTCAACCCCAGGAATCATGCTTGTGGTCAAGATGAGTAAGCTGAGAAAGCCCGAGGAAGACCTTCAGGACCCAGGCGAGGCTCAGGACTGGGTGGAGGCGCAGCTCTTGGGGACTGAGCAGGGGTAGGCCCCATCTTACTTGGCCTCCCACCACCCAGCATCCTCCTCCTCCCCTGGGGAGGAGCTTGGCCCAGGAAGTTCTGAATGAGATGATTGCTAACCTGATGAAGTTCCTTCTCCTCAAGTATTGAGCCAAGAAGCTGACCTCCCAGGCAGAATTGCTGAAGAAAGTCATCAGGGATAACCAGGAGCACTACCCAGTGGTCTTCAGCCAAGTCTCAGAGTGCCTGCAGCTGGTCTTTGGCATGGAGGTGAAGGAGGTAGACGCCAGTGAGTACATCTACTTCATGGTCTCCACCCTGGGCCTCAGCTGTGATACGATGCTGAGCGGTGGATAGGGGCTGCCCAAAGCCGGCCTCCTGGTGCTGGTCCTCAGCTTGAATATGCAGAATGGAGACTGGGCCCCTGAGGAAGCATTCTGGGGAGCATTCAGCAGGTTAGGGCTATGTGTTGGGAGTGAGCACTGTGTCTTTGGGGAGCCCAGGGAGCTGCTGACCCATGTGTGGGTGCAGGAGGGGTACCTGGAGTACCAGCAGGTGCCTGACAGCCACCCTGCCCACTATGAGTTCCTGTGGGGTCCCTGGGCCTATGCAGAGACCAGCAAGTGGCAAGTCATGGCGTTTCTGCTCAGGGTCAACCAAAGGGCTTTGAGGGCCTTCCCACTCCCTTCTGCAGAGGCTGCAAGGAAGGAGGACTCGGCAACCTGAGCCAGAGCAGCAGCCAGTCTGATCCTTCCCTCTGTGACTGAAGAGGTATCACTCAGCTTCTCAGAAATGAGGGCCTGGCCAGTTTAGGGAACAAGTGTGTAGCGGTTTTGGGTTCCTGTTCTCTACAATGACATGGAGATTCATCTCTGTTTTCTTTAAAAAATTTTCAAACTTTAATTTTATAGAAAGGTAAATACACTTCAGTGTCTTAGCTTTGTGAATGATGTTGATCCCAGTGTGTTTATGGTTACCCAGTTCACGAGCAAGAGTTTTGCTGTTTTTTAAAAGTGATTGGGAACACTTCCATTGTGTTTTGCGGTCCTGAACAGGATGCAATGGAATAGGAATTAGAATTGTTTTGAAAATGCGAACTTATTTAGAAATAATATTGAATGGAGAAGAATTATATAATAAAAGTAATCATAGTGAATTCATGCTTCAGTTCTTGTCTGTCATTTGCAGTAACTAAATTATCTCTGTTTATTGAATTTTACTGGGTTATTAAAGAAAGTATCAGACAATCTGAGCCCCCTGCTCACTAGCTCATTTATTCCAAAGACCTTTATGGAGCCTCTGCTCCATGAAAGGCTGTGTTAGCAGTGGGGACACTAGGAGAAGCAGGACATCCCCACACTTAGAGTGATGATCTAGAAGCCACAGTCACATGAGGTTTATCTTGGGTGTGAGGAGAATCTCTGAAATGGATCATTGCTGTGAGGTGTCCTTTTGCTTCTTGGATAAACCCCAGGGAGTTCTCTTTCTGGGGCAGGCAGGAAGGGGTCCTGGCTCTTGTTGCATAACTGTTGACCACAGGGATGAAATAGGTGTTTTCTACCCACCATCTACTAGGAATCCTAGAGAAATATGAATCCTGCTCTTTTATATATGGCCCAGTATTCCCTGTGCTATCCCTCCTCTCTGCCCTGGGAAGCTGATTACCAAGTACATTGAAATGACAGTTTATTTGGTCATATAGTCTTTATTATTTTCACTTGTGAGCATGGTCTAGATTTCATTTGGATGAAATGAGTTGAAGAGAAGCTGCAAAAGTGGAAAGGACCTGCTCTGTGACCAGAATCCTGGGATCTTGGAGTGAGCTCTGCCCAGCTGGGAAAGACACTGCTCCCCACCCACAAACCCTCACAAACACCCAAATTGAATAATATATCCCCCGGGGGGAAAACACACAGAACAGCAATTTTGAGTGGTTTTCTATTTTGTTTCCTATTGAGCTGCCAATTCTCTGAGGTGTCTTAAAAAGAAAACAATTTCCAGAGGAGAGAAGGACAGAGTCTGAGATGCGAATAACACAAGAAATAAGTAGTAGCCAGTAAAGATGCAACATCCGCCAGCATCCCTGGGTTCAGGCAGGTTCAGAAGTATGGAGGCAGCAGAGACACAAGTTAAGGCTGTGCCTGGCATTAAAAGGTAGGAGCGACTTCCGGGCCTAAGGAGGTGGTGAGGTCACTGCAGTAGGGGTGTGTATGGGTGCAGGAGGCTGAAGGGGCAGCTCTCCATGCTGAGTGCCAGAGAACAACGGGAACAGGAGATGTGATTCTGGTCACATATATGGCAGCGGCCACATAGTCAGTGGACGCTTGGGAAAGGTGGAGAATGTCAAGACCCATATGACCTGCTCAGACTCTCCTCCCCAAAACAAAGGAGATTTTTAACTGCTGCTCTTTGTGGAGCATCTGCTAGGCAGTGTGGAATTGGAGAAATGTCAGGAGTCCAGTCACCTCTTGTCTTCCTCTCTCCCTGCACACATGGGGACACGACCCTGCCAGGCCTCTTCACTTAGGAAGGGTCATATGATGACCCAGGGCCAGTGAATTTTGAGCAGAAGCATTTTTGTCAACTACCATTTGTTTTGAAGGGACACGGGCACCTGGGGGTTAATCCTCAAGTCAGGACAACACACAGATACAGACCACTCCGAGTGTGATTCCTCTTCCAGAGACTAAAACCCCTCACCTCTGACCCTTGAGAGAGGCTGCCCCATAGGGAATTGGCTGCAGGAATTCCACCCACCCCTATCAAAGACCCACAGCCTGCCCCCACCCTGCCCTGAGCTGCACTGTCGGCCCCCTTGGGGCTGTGCTCAGTCTCCATTAGGAGGGCAGCAGCCAGCTACCAAAGGCCCCTGTTGGGGTTGGGGGCATCCTCCTCACAGGGCCCAGCCCCGAGGCCCTCCACCCCTGCTGCCACAGTGCCCCCTCTCCCCCGGAACCTGGCCTTGGGTTTTGTCCTGCCTGCCCCCCGACTGAGAGCAGCTTAGGCTCTGGTCCTGATGACCTCATGTGTGTATCTTTATCTGGAAGTCCCAGAGCAGCATCCCCTTCCACGGTGCTTCAGGTGGAGCCGGCAGGACTTGATGCAGCCTGTGGGCGAGTCTCCTGGTGGTGGGTCAGTAGTAATCATTGCCATGGAAGTGTAGGGCACATCTCTATGATCCCAGGTGTATCAAACCATTCCCTGTGGAATCCCACATGTTGAAGTAAACTCAGGGTCTTGTTAATGTGACTGTGAGGTCCTGTCTTTTGAGCCTGAGTGTAAGAAGTAGAGGGGTGTCTGGTCAGCCACCTGCGCAGCCAGCTAGGACTTCGGTGTCCCCATTCTGACTGTTTGAGCAGAGGACAGGCTCTAGCAGTTGGCAGGGTTGGTCCCTAGGACACTCTCAGGCAACAGAGGCCCCATAGGAAAAGAGCCAGGCAGGAGACGACTCTGGGACCCCAGGGGTGAAGGCTGCAAAGAGGGTCAGCCGCCCCAGAGAGGTGGAAGCAGCAAGCCCCTGGAGGTCCCAACAGACCTGCCCAGGGCTGCCCACTGGGGACTCCCGGCTGTCAGTGCTCCTGCACTGTCCTCGCTGCTCAGAAGCTGCTGGTCCCCTCACTCTCACCGTACAGCAGGGACCATGGGACTCTCCATCCAGAAAGAAAAGGACACAGTGAGAATGAGAGGAAGACATGCCATGCACTGAGGAGAACGTTCCTGAAGATTCCAGATCACACGCTGTCACATCACAGCCCAGAGTGTGTCCTGAGACTCAGAGTGGTTTCCGTGGACAACTTTGAAGCATTCTTCAATCAGTGGTTGACATACAGGCCTTGATGGTCTGGAATAAAACCTCTGAAATCCAGATGCCCCTGATGTAGTCACTGAGAACACAGGCAGAGTCGAGTAGACATTGCAAAAGGAAAAGAAACAAAACACTCTCTTGAAGGAACAAAGCAACAAGAAAAGCCTGCTGAACGTCTGTTGGTTCTGTTTAAGAAAACTCCTTCTGAATGTTGTCTTTGCATTTCAGTGTTAATCTGCTGAATGTCTTTCCTCATTTCAGCAGGTTGTGGTCACTTAGAAAGTTGCAAAACCTGTCTCTTTCTAAACAGTCTCTTGAAATGAGGCTTCTCACAGGTTCAGTTGAGACTATCCCACTTGGTGCAAGTGGGTGCTTTTTATCAGTTTTCCTTTTCACGGCAAGAAAGCTCGTAGAGACAGGGAGCCTGCTGTCACTGCAGCTCATTTCCCTGCAGGTTCGAACCCACAGCTAGGTTCCATCACCCTCTGCAGCTGCCTCCAGGGAGCTGACCCCTGCCTTCCAGCTCCATAGCATTAGTTATGCAAAATAAGTTGCTGGCAGATTTTGGCATTTCTTCACAAAAACATATGAACACATTTTGACTGTTGTTTATCACAAATTAAACCCTTGTGGGACATTGAGGGCTTGCAAGATAGAATGCAGTCCATCTGACTGGAAAACTGATACCTGGCTGGGCTACCTCCCAGGAGAGTCACAGCACCCTCACACCCCACACTGAGGCCCTGCAGATGTGTTTTGACCCTTCCCTTATGGGTCCACACAGCTCAGTTAAGAGCAGCTATGAGGGACACTAAGAGCATGAGAGGGTTCCCGCCTACAGAGCTCGTGTCTGCAGGAAGACACTTTGAATGGAAAGGTCCCTCCTGGAGTCAGAGCTGTACCACCCTGTGTGCAGGGCAGGGAGAAGCGGTAGGGATTGCCCAACTCTGTGCCTGGGATGTCGGTGGAACCAACGCTGGAATGAGATGCTGCCCCTGACCGCGGGGAAGCTACTGACTCTGGAGGTTCCCCCTGACCAAAATACATGGATTCAAAACCTGCACACTACTCTAAAAGTCAGTTGGTCACCCTCTCCCTTCCCACCAGCAAAACCCCCAGCCGTGTGACAGACTAAGGCATCCAGACACCCAATCCCTTCACCCACAGCTGTGTGGCCAATAGGGCAGAGCCAGGACCAGAGTCTGTCTTTCATTCATGCCCATGAAGTCCAGGTGCCCATGACAGTGTGTTTGTCACCTCTTGTGCACTGGGGAAACTGATCTCATTGCTCATCACTTAAAGAAAATCTCCTTTGCAGACCTGAGTTCAATGAGCCCCAGCGAAGCCCCAGACACAAGAGGACACTGCAGGCCTGCACTTTAGCTCCTCTTCCTAGAACCCCTGCAGGGTCAGATTTCTGGTGATTCACTGTGTGCAGCCTGGTGTGTCCTCTGAAACTAGTGTC